TCAATTCTATGAAGGCTGAGAGAGGTGAGGAAGCTGCAGAAGAAAAGTTTGAAGCTAGCAGAGGTTGGGTCATGAGGCTTAAGGGAAAGAAGCCATCACCATAACATAAAAGTCCAAGGTGAGGCAGCAAGTGCTGATACAGAAGTTGGAGCAAATTATCCAGAAGAGCTAGCTAAGATAAGTGATGAAGGTGGCTACACTAAACAACAGATTTTTAGTGTAGATGAAACTGCCTTGACATTGGAAGAAGATGCCATCTAGGACTTTCATAGCTACAGAGGAGAAGTCAATGCCTGGTTTCAAAGCTTCAAAGGACAGGCTGACTCTCCTGTTAGGGGCTAATGCAGCTGGTGACTTTAAGTTGAAGCCAATGTTCATTTACCATTCTGAAAATCCTAGGGTCCTTAAGAATTATGCTAAATCTACTCTGCCTGTGCTCTATAAATGGAACAACAAAGCCTAGATGGTGGCACATCTGTTTACAACATGGTTTACTGGAAATTTTAAGCCCACTGTTGAGACCTACAGCTCAGAAAAAAGGTTTCTTTCTAGAATATTCTGCTCATTGATAATGCACCTGGTCACCCAAAAGCTCTGATGGAGATGTGTTGTTGTTGTTGTTAGGTGTCCTTAAGTCAGTTTTGACTCATAGCAACCCTATGTACAACAGAACGAAACATTGCCTGTCCTGCACCATCCTCACAATCGTTGTTATGCTTGAGGCCACTGTTGTAGCCATTGTGTCAATCCATCTCGTTCAGGGTCTTCCTCTTTCTCGCTGACCTCCTATTTTACCGAGCACGATGTCCTTCTCCAGGGACTGATCTCTCCTGATAACATGTCCAAAGTATGTGAGATGAAGTCTCACCATCCTTGCTTCTAAGGAGCATTCTGGCTGTACTTCTTCCAAGACAGATTCATTTGTTCTTTTGGCAGTGCATGGTATATACCATGGAGATGTACAAGGAGATTAATGCTGTTTTCATGCCTGCTAACACAACATCCATTCTGCAGCCCATGGATCAAGGAGTAATTTTAAATTTCATGTCTTATTATTTAAGAAATACATTTTGTAAGGCTATAGCTGCCATAGATAGTGATTCCTCTGATGGATCTGGGCAAAGTAAATTAAAAACCTGGAAAGGATTCATCATTCTAGATGACATTAAGAACATTTGTGATTCATGGGAGGAGGTCAAAATATCAACATTAACAGGAATTTGGAAGAAGCTGATTCTAACCCTCATGGATGACTTTGAGGGATTCAAGACTTCAGTGGAGAAAGTAACTGCAGATGTGGTGGAAATAGCAAGAGAACTAGAATTAGAAGTGGAGCCTGAAGATGTGACTGAATTGCTGCAATCTCATGATAAATCTTTAACGGATGAGGAGTTGCTTCTTATGGATGAGCAAAGAAAGTGGTTTCTTGAGATAGAATCTACTCCTGGTGAAGATGCTGTGATCATTGTTGAAATGACAACAAAGAATTTAGAATATTACATACACTTAATTGATAAAGCAGGGGCAGAGTTTGAGAGGAATGACTCCAATTTTGAAATTTCTACTGTGAGTAAAATGCTATCAAACAGCATCACGTTACAGAGAAATCTTTCATGAAAGGAAGAGTCAGTGGATGCAGCATACTTTATTGTTGTTTTATTTTAAGAAATTGCCACAGCCACCCTAACCTTCGGCAACCACCACCATGATCAGTCAACAGCTATCAACATCAAGACAAGATCCTCCACCAGCAAAAAGATTATGACTCACTGAAGGCCCAGATGATGGTTAGCATTTTTTAGCAATAAAGCATTTTTTAATTAAAGTACGTACTTTTTTTAATAGACATAATGCTATTGCATGCTTAACAGACTACAGTATAGTGTAAACAGAACTTTTATATGCACTGGGAAACAAAAAAATTCGTGTGATTCTTTTTATTGTGATATTCGCTTTATTGCAGTTGTCTGGAACCAAACCTGCAGTATTTCCCAGGTATGCCTGTAATTTCTTTAAATAGTAAACTTGTTTAGTATATTTAAAATAGGTTTAATTTATAAAATCATGGCAATAATGAAGATATAAATAGATAAGTCAATAGATAAAGATTATATATATATGTATATGTAATCAAGAAATTTGGAAGATAGAAAACAGCATAAAGTATTTACAATCTCATTAGGCTGTATTTTAATATCCACATAGTTTCCTCCCTCTCCTACTTGTTAATGCAAGTGGTTCTGTGATAGTAATTACACAATAATTATTATAAATAAAAATAGAGGGCTTACTCAGGCCCACCCTGTTGAGTGCTTTTCCTCTATTATCTTAACACGATCAACGCCACTCTATAAGGTAGGGACAATTGTTATCTTCATTCCAGAAAGGAGAAGTCTGAAATGCAAACAGGCTAGGCAATCTGCCCAAGATCCCACAACCTGTACATGAGCATCTGGTATTTAAATCTAGCTAGTTTGACACTAAGAAGTCCTGGTGGTGTAGTGGTTAAGTGCTCAGCCGCTAACTGAAAGGTTGGAGGTTCCAACCTATCAACCGCTCTGCAGGAGAAAGACATGGGAGTCTGCCTCTGTAAAGATTAAAGCCTTGGTAAACCCTACGGGGCAGCTCTACTCTGTCCTACAGGGTCACTGTAAGTTGGAACCAATTCAACAGCAGTGAGTTAGTTTAACAAAGAGCCTCTGCTTGAACCTACAAGCTGTACTGCTTCTCATAACGCAGCCATAACAACCTTTTAAAAATGTAAATCTTATCATGCCATTATGTAGCTCAAAACCCTCTGGTGGCTTCCTATCTCACTCAGAATAAAATCCAAACTGCTTACCATTTCTTTCAAATGGCTCCTGACCACCCTGTTGGAAACTATCTACAACTTTTCTCCTCCTTCACTGTGTTCCAGACACACTGACCTTCTTGCTATCCCCTAAGATGCTAAGCAAGCTTTTCATTTGCTATTTCTCTGCCAAGAATATTCTACTTCAGATCTTCGTATCATTCACTCTCTCCCTTCCTTGTGTTGTTGTTGTGTGCAGTTGAGTCGATTCTGACTCATAGCAACCCCATAGGACAGGGCAGAACTGCTCCATAGGGTTTCCAAGGTTGTAATCTTCAAGGGCACTGATTGCCACATCTTTCTCCCACAGAGCAACTTGTGGGTGTTGACTTTTTGTTTAGCAGCTGAACTCTTAACCACTGTTCCACCAGGGCTTCTTGAGTAGTCTATTTAAATATCAAGTCTTCTAAGGGGACGTCCCTGATCACATTTATAAAATAGCACTCCCCTACACTCCCCACTCTCTTGGTCTATCCCTTTAACTTACTACTACTTCTTCTTTTTTTTTCTTTTGGTAGAACTTATCATTATCTCTTATAAATTACATAATTAATAGTTAATTGTTCATTCATGTATTTTCTGTTCTATGAGGGCAGAACTTCACTGTTCACCTCTGTGTCATTACTGCCTAGAACAGTGCCTGGCAAAAACCACATGCTCAATAGGTTTTTATGGAACAAATGAGTGCAAAAGTAAGTGTATGTGCATTTTAAAATATGTAATATTGTGATATGTAAAATATGTAATACACACTACCACCAATGGATAGGGAAGTATAATAGGTAATGATTACAATTGACGACAAAAAAAAAAATAGTACTCCGATTTTTAAATGATTTATCGTATGTAGTCTTTAGTGTGGTACATATCTATGCAAATATGTATGCACACAACAGAAGAAAAAACTGGACAATAATTATGAAAATTCTATATAGGTACTTCTGTACTTGGGTATCACCAGGGAAAGTATTAACTCCCATTTGTAGGGCCCAGGGTATGTGAAGGGGTTCATTGTTTTAGGCACTAACGAGACAGGTCTAGGTTGGGAAGGGGTTAAGAGGTCTATGAGTAAGCTACAACAGAAATGAGGAGTCCATTTAGGCACAAATTCTCAGTCCTTTACTCCTGGAACGCTGTTAAATTCCAGTGTAACCCCAGAGACATGGTCAGGTTTGAAATCCCCCCAGAGATGCTTCGAGTGTCCTATACTGTATCCATCTCAGACTTTCCCTTGAAAGGATTCTACCCCTACTTTTGGCTTAGAAAGGACCAACTTATGCATGATCAGTTCCATAAACTGATCTAGAACCGAGCAAGCACTGCAAGGGTTAAGATGGACTAAATTACCAAGGCTCAGTCTCAGGACTGGTATTTCTGGGGAAAAGCTTGGATAGTACAAGTTCTCAGGGAGAAGCTACTCATTGGCAGTCTGTTTAATGGTGTATATACATTTGTTGGGTGTTTTTTCTAAAGTTTAAATTCAGACCAGTTTGTGCAATATTTCATTTTCCAAGGAACACAAAGAGAAGGTCTGTTTATTAACCTGAATTAGAGAAGTGTCTCCAAGTCACTTGAAGTATATTAATAAAGATAAGTGGGAATAGCAAAATCATATATATATTTTTGTTCTTTCACATTCATGATAACTTTAACCAGAGTTTGAATATAGATATAGCTAGGGATAAAGGTAATACAGACAGAAAAAAGGGAGATAGATTTTTATAAAAATAAGTACATTTTTAGAATGTGAAATATTGGTGCTATCACAATTGATGATACCATGATGTACCATGACTACATGAAGAATTTTATAGACTGCTTGTCTTAATACCATAACAACTGTGAGACAGTATACAGAGGAAAAAAAACCAAAAAACAAAAAACAAAAGAGCTCTCTATTAGTCTGACATCGTATACATTATGTTTTATGGCAGAGTATGATTTTTTTTTCTTTAACAAGTATACTGTTTACTTCTTAAACAGAAATCTAATGGAGAAAAAGAAATGTAAGCAAAATAGCCACTAAAACTGTGCCAAATTAATTAAGTCAATAGAGCACTTGTTTGTTCAGAATATGGTATGTGGAGTTAATGTATTTTCTTAAATATGGTTGATAATAATTTAAAAATAAAAGAGATATTCAACTTACTAAAGATTTGTCGGGATAGACCCCGGCTCTTAGTAAAGATGCCTTCCAGCTGTCTACATCCTCCTGCGAGTCACATGCCAGCTCAAGGAAGCGATAGTCTTTGTATACATTTCTGGAGTAGAAAAAGAAAACCATGCTCTTAGTTTTGAACCAAATTCAAGCAGGCTGCCACATCTTTCTCCTGCAGAGCTGCTGGTGGCTTCGAACCACCAACCTTTCATTTAGCAGCTGAGTGTTTAGCCACTGCACCACAGGGCACCTTAAAGAGATACTAGACAAGTGCAAAACAAAGAAATAAATACATCAGATGAGGTGAAATTAAAAATACTAATCAAGACAAACCATTTAAAAGCACTAAGTAGGATAAAAAAGAAATATAATATTAAGAAGAATAGAAAATATTCATAAATCTGTCTGCACCAAACAACATAGTAAACAACAACAACAAAATGCTACTAAAAATCTAAGCTGAACTTGATAAAATTTAATTTGGATAGAAATTTTAACATAACTCTTTTCAAACTGGACAAAGGAAGTGGACAAATATCTGAAAGCATACAGAGGAGATAAATCCCTTGAATAAAGATATTTTTTTCAGTATTCACAAAACATTTACAAAATCAGTCACACATTTATACCGACACACACACACACACACACACACACACACAATATAAACATTAACAAACTTTTAAAGGGAGAGATTTTACAGGCTACATTCTTTGAGTTCACACCCCTAAAAAAATTAGAAATGAATTTCTAAAAAAGAGACCACCAAAAAACAAACATACTCCTAGCTAAGCTTTTTATCACAGGAAAAACCAAAATCAAAATTATAAATTATTTAGAAAGCAATAAAAATATAAACACTTCATATGCAACTAATGGAGCACGATAAAGGCTGTATTTGAAGGAAAATTTACGGCCTTAAATGTGCTTATCATTTACACAAAAAAGAAAAAATGCTCAATATTCATTTAGAGAAATTATAAAAAGGTAAAAAAAATCAAAATAAACCAAGAAGAGGGAATTAATATACATAAAAGCCAAAATTAATGATATAGAAAATATAAAAATCACATAAAAGATAAGGACATCCACAAGTATTTTCTTCTTACAGATAAATCACTTACAATCCTAATTAAGGGAGAAAACAGGAAAGAACAAATGTATAGAAGATCACTAATGAGAAAGGATACATAACCACAAATACAGAGGAGATTGAAAAATAAAAAAAAAAAGTATTATCAAAAAACTAAGAACCTAGAGGACATTTATAATTTCCTTAAAAACATAAATTACCAAAATTAACCAAGGAAGAACTGGAAAATCCAAGTGATTTTTAAAAAACACTACTATAATTAATAAAGAAAACTTTGCTTAAAAGAAGCTAGCATTAGCTGCAAGACAAATACACAAAATTTAATATTTTTTTATCAATACTACCAATAACTTAGAAATGGGAAATATTCCATTCACATTAGAAGCAAAACCTAGAAAATACAGAGGAATAGATTTTACAAAACAAAAAAAGTATAAATCTTATTAAATAGCCTGAAACAGGATCTTAATAAATGGAAAGACATATCTGGATGAGATGATTTGATAATGTTGCACTACCAGGGTCTTCCAAAGTGACTATCACTAGCAGGTATTCAATAAGTATTCACATATGGGTGAATAATGAATCATATTAAATCCATAAAAACACTGAATATCATCTTTAAAATACCTTTGCTAATTTTATAATTTAAAAGTGATTCTTCAACTAGGTTCACATAACAATATGTGTATAAATTTTGTATGAGAAAATAACTTGTGCTGTAAACTTTCACCTTAAGCACAATAATAAAAAAAAGTACTTCAGAAACAAAGAAACCAAACATATTTGTAATTCTCCATTATTGGATTTAGTCTATAGACTCTAGAAAAACTGCTTTCTGAAGTGGTATCACTTTTGCCAATATTATGTTTTATTTTTAAAGAACAGTCTTCTCTGATCTTCAGATATGATGACACCCACCGGGTGTTGGGTTTGTTCTTAACATTACATTGAAAAAACTCTTGGTAATTTGACAAGGGCTGAGCGATATTTGCTACTCAATTGGCATGAGAGGTGAGAGATGCCCAGTTCCTTATGACACCCAACATGTGTGTGAAGTGGGTGTGACAACTGTCTTTACCACACTGTTCTCTGATTCCACGCTCGGGTTGTTGTCATGAGACCAGTGCCTTCTTAGCCATCACACAACAACTGAGTCTCTAGGCACCTCTAGTCCAATTTCCTTTCCAAAAACGCTTCACTTTGAAATGTCAACTCACCTGGAAACTTGGTAACACTACAAAATGCCTGACTTTCACAGAATGTTCTGGCATCTAGTTCAGAGTTTGTAAATTCCAAGGAATGAAAGGATCAGAACACTGAGGAACCCAGAAGTTCCCAGGTTATCATTATTCGGTTAATGGTGATGGATGTAAGGTCAGATGAGTTGACAATCTGGCCTCCAATTAAAGCCTAATCCGAAGAGGAATTGTTCTCCATAATTAGCCTGCATCTTTCCTCTGAAAAGAAGGTGTTGAGAAGTCAAATTAAGGGAGGATCAAGCACTTATCTGCTATGTGGCTTCTGCCAAGTTACTTAAACAGAGGTTAAACAAAATGGGGAAAAATATACCCACACAGAGTTGTTGTGATAATTAAATGATGGGACACTTCAAAAAAAAAAAAAAAGTGATTCTTCATCAATGCTTTAATATTTTTACTCACTAAGGAGACTGCACATCTTTATATGTTTATAGAAATGATCTTCTTTGCAGTATTATTGCAACGGCTTCTCACTGTTTTTAAGTTTGCATTTGCCTGACATATCTTTGACTCTTACTTTTATCTATTTGTTTTACTTTTTAAAAAGACATATATATTATAAATACCAACAATATAGTAGGACTTTTTGGTTCATCCCAGTATGAAAATCACCACCTGTGATTTTAAATCACGTTTGTTTCTTGCTATATAGCTGTATGCTTGGTCTTAGTTTTGTCATTTTGATACATGCTTTTTAAAAAAATGCTCTTTACTATTTCTTTTGTTTATGCCATTAGAAATGAACTGCCTCTTTTGCTTCTGTCTTTTTCAGGGTTTTCTACAGGTGAATTGATGAAGTGTTTCAAATCATTTTTGAGCTCATATTTTTGTATATATGAAATTTAGGAATAAAATAATAACTCCTGGCTTCTTGAAAAATTCAGCAGCTTTTACTTTCTGCCACTTCATTTCATGACATTTGCTAATCTATCTAGAAATATTTTTCCAGATTATTATTTCTCAGTTATTGTTTTCACATCTCTTTTAACAGTCTCCTTTTTTTCCTTTTATTGTATTGGACTTGGTTACATTTAAACAATTATTCAGATGGAATTCTTTATGTCTACTTCAATCAGTGTTAATCATCAGGCATTTTCCACCTAGACTCTCCCGTTGGTACATCCTTACTTTGATTCATTTTTTTTGAATTGGCTTTACAACAGAGTGTCTTGCTTCCTGGATTTCTCGGTGCAGTCTCCACATTTTTCACATGGATGCAGTTAGGATGAGTCAAAGCTTCTTTCTGCTAACTTTCTGTTTAGCCCCATTTTTCTGACTTAACGCTAAAATGTACACTGGTCACTGGTAGTTTTTCAATCGAGTTTGCTCCTCAATAAGTCTTGCAAATAGTTAACTGTCATCACTACTTTCCAGTGCTTTTTGGATTTCCCATCTCTGTTGTGTATGACTGTTTGGATGCAGCAATGGATAGAGGAGGGTAAAAGACTCCTAATTGTCTACCATCTTAAAACAAATTGTCTTACTTAATCTGCAGAGTTGGTAATAGAGCTGTTTTAACAAATGAGGAAACTGAGGTCCAGGGAGATTGTAATCACACAGCTAATAAACGGCAGAACCTGTGCCTACCACAGTGCTTGGCATATGACCTCTAGGAAACAAATATTTGTTGAATGAATGAACAGTCAAATGAACTTGGATTATATTTATTTTTGAAGTCACCTTTATAATTTTTGACTGATCCTTAAATTTTTCCAGAAAACCTAACGTATAAAAGATTGAAGGGACAAACCACAACAAGCAGAAAGAGTAATTTTAATTAAAAGTGGAACATTTTTAAAGGGAATATATTCTCTCTGTATGTAAGTTTATTACTAGAAAATTTGAAAGGTCATGTCTTTGTGACAGAGCAGAAAGGGAGATGAATTATCTTGACAAAATCAAAATCGATTGGTTTTTAATTATCTAATTACCTCTCTATCATAGCTCTTAGCAGCTACTTAGGTTTCCATTTGGAGGCATTTCCACTGAACAGTTATCAGAAGGGACCAGTCCCTGGAGAAAGACACCATGCTTGGTAAGGTAGAGGGTCAGCAAAAAAGAGGAAGACCCTCAACAAGATGGATTGACACAGTGGCTGCAACTATGGGCTGAAGCATAACAACAATTGTGAGGATGGCGCAGGACCGGGCATTGTTTTCTTCTGTTATACGTAGGGTCGCTATGAGTCGGAACCAACTCAACGGCACCTAACAACAACTACTGAATAGGGTGAGTACCGTTTAAGATATAAAGGTATGGGGAAGGCAAAGCTGGGCAAATGCCATCGGAGCTCTTCGCCAGCTGGCAAGCAAGAAAAGTAGAGAGGGCACAGACTTTCCACATTCTCTAAGCAGATCTGAAGAATTCAGCTTTGGCCCATTCTTATTGACCTTTCTCCAGAGTATTTTCTTTCAGGGGCTCTTCAGATGGAAAATCTTGATTTTTTTTCCCCCTCAAAGGATGGCCAAATTCTTGAGAGGGAAAATAATTATCTGGTTGAAACATTAGAAGAGGGTCAAAGGCTTCTGGTGGCTTTGGCACTTTATTTTTACCCATTTTTGAAGCCTTCATTTTAGGCTGTCTAGAAATCCAAGGAGAGTTGGATACAGGTCTAAAACACTGAACTGAGCAGATTTACTGGAAGTCTTAGAAATTCTGTGCACACAGCTCCAGGTTCTCACCCCATGCTGTAGCTCTATAGATAACCCACAACAATTTGTACTGACTGCATTATTTTTTTGTTTGTTT